CATGATAGTTGAGTAAATTGTGTACTTAGGTTCAAGTGTCTTTGTGCATATTAGTTTACTTCAGCTAACAAATATTTAAATCACTTGATGGGGGCTTTTAAGTAATGCCAGGAAAGGAGACCAGTCGCAGGGGTTAACTGAGCACCTGGATTATATCACAGTGGGTGTATCCAGAAATCTATCTATCCCTTCTCCTTCTCCTGTGGATACAAGTACAGCAACTTTCATTTCATGGAACGAGCCACTCGCTGTTTTCTTGGCTATCCAGGACTGTCTAGGATCAACATAGCTTAGATAATAGTCCAGTTTCTCACGTGGGTGGGCATTGTTAAGGATCAAACCCACACCCTCACTATATCAGTGTATTTACCCACGTGGGCGCGCGACAGCCAGCCAATGGGCTGTTGCTGTTGTGGTGTACCTCAGCGCGGTGACGACGACACTGAGGGTTAACAGAGGATGTACATGGGTAGAATCTTGCTGCGAGACGCCACCCACAGGAGATGTTACTCGTCTGTGCTGCTGGTAAATCTCTAGGTCAAGGGTTAAGTCTCAGCAGAACAATGTTCTCTTCACTCCGCAATCTTTTAACCAAGGGTTGTAATTTTAGTTGTACGTTTGGCTAGCACTTTACTCATGTTCCTAATGAGTTTTGACAACCTTTTTCACCCATGCGTTTGGGGGCGGGCTGATGAGAGCCACAAGGACACATCACCTCTGGGGGGCCGCCAAACTCCGAGATCCCCTGACAGCTCTGTTAATGCTCATTTGAGACATTATCCGTGGCGCACGACGAGGACGTGCTGCAGGGGTCTTGCGTGAGGTTCCGTAAAACCAGAAAGTGAAGGACTGGTCGCCCGAGTGACGTACGGATTATCTCCTTGTACACATCATGTTGGACTTAACTTTTCCTCACGCCTGTGACATAAATCACCGTGCCACAGTTATTTAAGGATTTAACTATACAGGCTGACTTTCTTCTGCCTTTCTTCTTCTGCCTTTCTAACCTCCAATGGAGCATAGGCCCTCTACCAACTCACGCCAAGCCGTTCTTTCCTTCGCGGCACAGTGTGTGCTCTGTGGTAGCGTGTGTGCTGTGCGGTACAGTGTATGCTCTGTGGTGGCGGTACAGTGTATGCTCTGTGGTGGCGGTACAGTGTATGCTCTGTGGTGGCGGTACAGTGTATGCTCTGTAGTACAGTGTGTGCTCTGTGGTAGTGTGTGTGCTGTGCTGGAGAGATAATAAATTTGCAAACTTATAAAGGCTTGTAGTCACCAACGGGAAAGAGAAGGTCAATCAGAAGGATGAACTGGGATAGGTCATATCTGCGCAAGGAACACAGGGCCTTGTATAATAAAGTCCTCCCCATGTTGGATGATTTTTTTTTTTTTTTTTTGAAGCCCCACCCTGGCTTCAGCCAGGGGCCCTGAATATAGCCAGGGCATAGATATGGCCTAGCCATAGATATGGCCTTACGGCCGAAAGAGGTGTCTCTGACCTTTCCACGGGTGATCCTCAACCACATGGTGGCGCTTTGTATCACCGGGTGTTTATCGCTTGTGTGATGTCCTGGTGGGGTACAACTGCCTACCTACCACACAGGCTCGGAACTGAGAAAGGGCAGCGAACGGAGTGGGTGAGGAGAAGAAGAAAGGGCATTATATATTATGGTATTACCATTTGTCTGTGGCTCAGGCGTTGCGAACGCGCTTCGTAATGCCGGGCTGTCGGGTTCGATCCCAGCTGTAGGCGATTTGGCAGCAGACCACCTTGCGTTGGTTTCGACAGTGTTATCGAGAGCCGACCGCTGAATAAGCAGTGGCAAAACTATCATCATCATCATCATCAGGTGCCTGGCCGACTGGCATAGGCAATCATGCCTCTCCCTAATCTGCGATCTCCTGCAGCATGTATCAGTTCGTGTGCCGACACACCTCCATGCCATGCAACAAGACTGTCAAGCATCTTCTCTCGTTGTCTTCCTCTATATCTCCTTCCACATAATTTTCCAGTGGTCACATGTTCTATTTTCCGCTTCTCATAACATGGCCGAAAAATGATGACTGTCTCCTTCTGATGTCTGTGATAATTTGTCTTCGGGCTCCCGCCTCTTTCAAAACCTCTTGGTTGCTCTTTTTGGCTGTCGAAGGTATTCTTAGCATTCTTCTGTAAAACCACATCTCCGAGGCCTCTAGAAATTGTTTGGCCTGTCTACCGATTGTCCAGGATTCACAGCCATATGTTAAAACTGGATGTATGTAGCAAGCAAGAATTCTTTTTCTAACTCTCAATGACAAGGATATATTTCACAAGATGTTTTTCATTTGATAAAATGCAGTTTTTGCCTGTCCTATTCTGTTTCTTATTTCAGTTATGCATCTTCCATCTGATGTTATCCATGTGCCCAGATACTTAAATTTCCGTACTTGTCCTTAAATAACACCATCAACTTTTATTACACATTTAGGAATAATTTGTTTCTTTGATACCACCATTACTTCTGTCTTCCCATTATTCAAACTGAGGCCCATTCTTTCACTTTCTAACACCACAATGTCTATCATTTCCTGTAGTTCTTTCTGACTGTGTCATCATCATAACGTAAATTGTTTATATTGTGCCCACCAACCACAATTCCGGGCATACCAATTAAAGCTCTCATTATATATTCACTGTATATTGAAAACAAATCAGGTGACAGTACACATCCTTGTCGTACGCCGCTCTTTATGCTTTGAAATGTACCTAAACAGTTGTTAATTCTTATAGCTGCTGTGTCCTGCCAATACATATTCTTTATTATTCTTAGATATTTCCCATCAATGTTTAATTTTTCTAACAGTTTGATTACTTCTTCATGCTTCACACAGTCAAATGCTTTTGTATAGTCTATGAAGCATATGTACAAATCAGTCTTTACTTCTATAGCTCTTTCTGACAATGTCCTTAGGATGTATATGGCATTGTTTGTACCTTTTCCTTCTACAAATCCACATTGTTCATCGCTGATTTCTGGTTTTATTTTGTTTCTTATTCTTCTCATAATTATTCTCAGTAAAATCTTAGTCATGTGACTCATAAGACTTATTGTGCGATGGTCTTCACATTTTATAGTGCCTGGTTTCTTAGGCAGAGCTATAAATATGGATTTTAAAAGGTCATTTGGAATATTCCCACTATTATAAATATCATTTAAACGTTTAGTTATTATTTCAATTCCAAAATCTCCCAGTGCTTCGATTTCTTCCAGTGAGATGTTGTCTGGCCCGGGTGCTTTTCCTTTCTTCATATGATGTATTGCATCCTCAACTTCTGCAGTCATTATTGGTGGACCATCATTGTTGGTCTGTAGTTCTACATCTGGTCTATTATCATCATACAATTCCCCTTTATACTCTGTCCATCTGTTAACTATATTACTATGCCCATTAATAAGTCACCATCTTTTGATTTCAAACATCCAGTGCTGTTACGTGTCATCTTTCCTGTTAACATATTTATCTTTTGGTACATGGAATGTGAGTCTTTCCTGTTGTTTTTCCCAATCTCTGTACACATTTGATTCAGCCAGGCTTCTTTATCCACTTTGCATTTGTTCACTATTTCTTTTTGTATTATAGAGTATTCTTCTTTATCATTCTTTTTCTTCCTTCTTTCCTCCATCAACTGCAGAATTTCGGTTGACATCCATTTGTTTTTTGCAACTCTATGGGTTGGTGGGATTGTCTCTTTAGATGTCTGCTGAATTGACTCACGCAACATATCCCACTGTTCATCAATAGTCTGTATAATTTCCATTGCATTATACCGGTTTTGTATAGTGACATTGTACTGGTCCTTAATTTCTTTATCCGTTCTAAGAATTCCTAAATTTAACTTGATGTTCTGTGGTGTTTTTCTAATGTTCTTTAGTTTTATTCTAATTTTTCCTACAACTGGAACATGGTCACTAAAGCAGTCTGCTCCTGGTCTAGTTTTTGCTCCAACTAAGCTGCTCCTGAATCTTCTTGAAATCAAAATATAATCAATCTGATTGCGGACATTATCACCAGGACTTTTCCAAGTCCACAATCTTCGAGGATGGTGTTTAAACCAGGTGTTACCTATTATCATGCTGCGTGACTCAGCCCATGCTATTAATCGGTCACCTCTCACATTCTTTTCTCCTAGGCCATAGCCACCAGTTATTCCGTACACTTTTTCACTTCCTATTTTCGCTTTGAAATCTCCAAGTACCATTGTTACTTCACAATTTTTGCATTGATCAACAGCCATGTCTAACTCGTCATAAAATGCGTCAATATCTTCCTCTGAACTATTTGCTGTTGGGGCATAAATCTGTACTAAGTTGATGTCAAAAGGTCTGCCACGAAGTTTTACTAATAGTACTCTTATCTGATATTGTCCAAAATCCTTTCACAGTTTTTGAGTTCTTTTGATCCAAAAGAATACCAACTCCCTTACTATATTCCTTCCCACCCGAGTGAATAATTCTGTACTGATCTGAATACTTTTCACCTGCTCCTGGCCATCGCATTTCACTAATTCCTAATATTTTGACGTTCATTCTCTTTATTTCCATCTTGATGTTATCCAGCTTTCCGTTTTGTACGAGTGTTCTGACATTCTATGTACCAATGTTCATGATGTTTCTAGTGGCAAACTACTGAACGTAAATTTGTATAGAAGAACCACAACAGCCCAAAAATGCTGGGGTTGCTTCTGAACGTCCTGTAAAGGATACGCAACTAACTTTATTGCTACTGACGTGAATGCACACCGGGCATTCGCATGCATGCTCAATCCGCCGCTGTAGCAGCTATTCCAGCGCACAACTACTGAGGTTTCCATACTGAATCGGAAACAGTGGCTCGTATCTTGACTTTAAAGACGACATAATCGTGTTGGACCAGGCTTCACTTGCAGGTCACGTAGCGCAGTTAGCGCCAGAGACCGAATAAATGAATGAACACAGCCTCAATTCCGACACTGTTCTCACCTGCTTGTGTGTACACTGTATCCTGTAGAGCTCACTGAGACTGAGGTCTTTAGGAGCAAACCCGAGGACGATCGTGGTGCCGTCATCCCAGCCGCTGAAGATCTGCGTACCGTCGTGGTTCACGGCCAGCGCTTTGCATGTGCGGTTGACCCGGATGTACCTTCGAACTTCCAACAGTTGTTTCAGGTTGTGAACTCTGACCTGAGGAATGAGGACTCATCGCTTAGCATCTGAACATCATTTTAATCTTAGAGCATGACTGCATCGTCGACCGCGTCACCCATTGGTTCACCGGTAGACGATTTCATCACCGATCGAGACAGTTTTTTGGTCTGTCTCCTCTGATCTTACCACACTGAAGAAGTCTTTTTCAGGGTTCTCAGTGGCGTGCAGTCCTATACGATTTTATTGCGCACATAACTAGTCACATAACCTAAAGCTACACACACACATCGTGATTGTAACTGACTCAGAAAGCATGCTGAAGAAGATCAAGACAGGCATGCTTCGTGCAGAGTGGCATGCTTCGCTGCGGAGGACACCGGTGAGGAGTATTGCCTGGACTTTTTCACTAGGGGACGCCGGTGTGTTGGGAAATGAACAGTCAGACAGACTGGCTGGCTCTGCACAACTTGGTGGAATACTGATACATGATAAGGCAGACGTGGTTAATGCCTTGTGGAAGAGAGTGTACAGTTCGGAGGAGCACATAGATCACCACAGTCTGGTTAGATTGATGCAAAAAAAGGGGGGGGGGGCGGTGACGAGAGGTTCTGGCAGATTCTCGAGGCTCAGAGGAAAGGCAAGAAGAACGTTTAATCAGAATGCTACTGGCACATTTTAGTATTGGAACTCTTCGCTGGCTGCTGAAGATGGGTACGGAGCGCTCATGTGAATGACCCGAGTGCTGTAATGTCGGTGCCTGAATCAAATCAAATAAATTCAAATAACCTGAAGCTCCTTCTTCGGGATGTGGTTGTACGTGAAGATTTGTTGTTGCTGAGCAAAGCAATGGAACGGAGCATGAATCATGCAGATAATTATGATGCAGATAATAATGATGCAGATAAGGGTGATGCAGATAATGATGTGATGCAAATAAGTGGGTGCAGATTGATGCTGATATGATTATTGGGATGTGCAGATTGATGCTGATATGATTAAGGTTGGTGGTTGATGATGATATAATTATGATGTGGATCAATCGGGTGGTTGATTGGGGTGTTGATAATTATTGGGGTGGTTGATGCTGATATGATTATTGGGGTGGTTGATGCTGATTATGATTATTGGGGTGGTTGATGCTGATAGCTTTAATTATTGGGGTGGTTGATGCTGATGATTATTGGGGTGTTGATGCTGATATGATTATTGGGGTGTTGATGCTGATATGATTATTGGGGTGGTTGATGCTGATATGATTATTGGGGTGTTGATGCTGATATGATTATTGGGGTGGTTGATGCTGATATGATTATTGGGGTGGTTGATGCTGATATGATTATTGGGTGGTTGATGCTGATATGATTATTGGGATGTGATATTGATGCTGGTTGATGCTGATATGATTGGGGTGTTGATGCTGATTATTGGGGTGGTTGATGCTGGTGGGGTTGATGCTGATATAATTATTGGGGTGGTTGATGCTGATATGATTATTGGGGTGGTTGATGCTGATATGATTATTGGGGTGGTTGATGCTGATATGATTATTGGGGTGGTTGATGCTGATATGATTATTGGGGTGGTTGATGCTGATATGATTATTGGGGTGGTTGATGCTGATATAATTATTGGGGTGGTTGATGCTGATATGATTATTGGGGTGGTTGATGCTGATATGATTATTGGGGTGGTTGATGCTGATATGATTATTGGGGTGGTTGATGCTGATATGATTATTGGGGTGGTTGATGCTGATATGATTATTGGGGTGGTTGATGCTGATATGATATTGGGGGTGGTTGATGCTGATATGATATTATTGGGGTGGTTGATGCTGATATGATTATTGGGGTGGTTGATGCTGATATGATTATTGGGGTGGTTGATGCTGATATGATGCTATTTGGGGTGGTTGATGCTGATATGATTATTGGGGTGGTTGATGCTGATATGATTATTGGGGTGGTTGATGCTGATATGATTATTGGGGTGGTTGATGCTGATATGATTATTGGGGTGGTTGATGATGATATGATTATTGGGGTGGTTGATGCTGATATGATTATTGGGGTGGTTGATGCTGATATAATTATTGGGTTGATGCTGATATGATTATTGGGGTGGTTGATATGATATGATTATTGGGGTGGTTGATGCTGATATGATTATTGGTGGTTGATGCTGATATTATATGGGGGGTGTTGATGCTGATATATGATTATTGGGGGTGGTTGATGCTGATATAATTATTGGGGTGGTTGATGCTGATATGATTATTGGGGTGGTTGATGCTGATATGATTATTGGGGTGGTTGATGCTGATATGATTATTGGGGTGGTTGATGCTGATATGATTATTGGGGTGGTTGATGCTGATATGATTATTATGGGGTGGTTGATGCTGATATGATTATTGGGGTGGTTGATGCTGATATGATTATTGGGGTGGTTGATGCTGATATGATTATTGGGGTGGTTGATGCTGATATGATTATTGGGGTGGTTGATGCTGATATGATTATTGGGGTGGTTGATGCTGATATGATTATTGGGGTGGTTGATGCTGGTATGATTATTGGGGTGGTTGATGCTGATATGATTATTGGGGTGGTTGATGCTGATATGATTATTGGGGTGGTTGATGCTGATATGATTATTGGGGTGGTTGATGCTGGAATGATTATTGGGGTGGTTGATGCTGATATAATTATTGGGGTGGTTGATGCTGATATGATTATTGCTGGGTGGTGGTTGATGATGATATAATTATTGGGGTGGTTGATGCTGATATAATTATTGGGGTGGTTGATGCTGGTATAATTATTGGGGTGGTTGATGCTGATATGATTATTGGGGTGGTTGATGATGATATAATTATTGGGGTGGTTGATGATGATATAATTATTGGGGTGGTTGATGATGATATAATTATTGGGGTGGTTGATGATGATATGATTATTGGGGTGGTTGATGCTGATATGATTATTGGGGTGGTTGATGCTGATATGATTATTGGGGTGGTTGATGCTGATATAATTATTGGGGTGGTTGATGCTGATATGATTATTGGGGTGGTTGATGATGATATGATTATTGGGGTGGTTGATGATGATATGATTATTGGGGTGGTTGATGATGATATGATTATTGGGGTGGTTGATGATGATATGATTATTGGGGTGGTTGATGATGATATGATTATTGGGGTGGTTGATGCTGATATGATTATTGGGGTGGTTGATGCTGATATGATTATTGGGGTGGTTGATGATGATATGATTATTGGGCTGGTTGATGATGGTATGATTATTGGGGTGGTTGGGGCTGATATAATTATTGGGGTGGTTGATGATGGTATGAGAGCCTGAGAGGCAAGGAACCAGCAGTCTGCATACAAATGAGTCAGATCTGTAAAACGGATACACACGCAACAATTAGGTTATGGATCACGACTGCAGTCCAGAAGTGGACAAACAACCAAAACTTTCCGCCAGAATTTACAGCTGGTGAACGCGAAAAAGAAGAAGAAAAGCAATGATGTGGCTGGAGACACGTACTTTTTTTTCCGTGCGTGCTTTCTAAGTGAGCTTTCTCTAATGAGCATGCTTAAAAAATAGAGACAGGATAGATTCGAAGAAAAAAAGGAGTCGCCAAGGAATCGCTATCTCATCTGATAGGACTTAGTTTCACTTTTTGACCAGGAGACTCTGGGGTAAGAGGGAATAAACGAGCGGACTGGCTTGCTGGCAGGGCTACGGAAGGTACAGGCAAAGCTTTCTCCAAATAAGCTTTGGTACAGGAAAAGCAATGGACTGGGCGGACATTCTGAGTGCTCTCAAGGAGGCAGGACTAGAACATGATTCAGGAGACGACGCTGAACCAGCAACACTCAAAAGACTACAAGAACTTCAGGTCAAAAGAGGTGTTGTCAAACATGAACACTATACAGGCAGCTAAAGAAGAATAGTAAAGCAAGACAAGCTGAAGGAGATACTGAAGATGGGATCCGAGCGTGTATGGACTTGTCCGATGTGCAATAAGGATAATCTGTGGATCAACTAACTAACTAATGATTATTGTTATCATCGTCCTTATCATCATCAACGACATAACTGTCATCATAGTGGTGCGGACTGCATTCGGGGTTTGGTTCTCTCACCCTTTTACTCTCTCTCTCTCTCTCTCTCTCTCTCTCTCTCTCTCTCTCTCTCTCTCTTTCTCTCTCTCTCTCTCTCATCATACAGACCGTGGTGGGAGCGAAGTTCTGCAAATAACATGATTCGTATTGTTGTAAAAGAGACAATGAAAGCAGAGGTAGAGATCGACATCGCAAGTGATGGATAGATGAAATATCCGAGGCAGTAAATATCTGTCTCTACGTAGCAGCACACACCAAGGCTCGAACCCGATGCTTCCTCAAAAGATGAAGCTGAAAGGCAGATCATGGCTGCTTTATTAATATCCTACCCCAAGCAGGGGACAGTCTAGTATGTCAGGGGGTGATAGATAGGCTGCATGCATTCGTGGGACCTAGGCTGCACTCACTCGTGGGACGTAGGTGGTTTCGGGTAAGGGCTAGCTCTATATATTTTGGGGTTGTTAAAAGCGTCAGAAAGCCGGAAAACTCAGTCTTACCACCCTCTAAAATGTTGGACTGTCCTGTGACGTCATTAGGGGGGGGGGTAGGATATTAATAAATCACCAGATCATGACCAGAGAAGAGGAAGAAGAAAAGAACACCGACAGTCACATACCATCGCATGCTCCCCCGTCACCAGAAGTTCGTCAGTTCCTCTAGGAAACGCCATGGCTCTGATCGCTGTCCGGCTGCAGGTTCGCATGAGCTCTGCTTTCCACTTCTCCATGTTGAATCTGTAGATCTTACAATCCTTGGTGCCCACGAAGAAGCTGTTTCCTTCACCTATCTTTGCTGCAGAAGTGAAATCATGATTTTGTTATCCCTTGTGGATTCCGGGTCCCCTTGTGGAGAAAAACAAGAAAAGACCCATTGCCTGCCCAAAAGCACGTCGGATAAGTGTCGACTAATTGGGAGCTTCATTCAAAGTCCGAGTACATCTGCCTGAGAGGCAAGGAACCAACAGTCTGCATGCAAATAAGTCAGACACGTAAAACAAATGTGTACGCAACAGTTTCTCGAACGGCACTAGAGTTCAGAAGTGTACGAACGACCAGAACTTTCCGCCGGAGTTTACAGCCGGTAAACGCGAAGGAGAAGATGATGATTTTGTTTCAATAACTTAACGGAAGGGAAAATATAAATCTTGTTTGCTAAATTCAGCGATCCATGATTCTCAACTCTTTTCCATTGTCTGTTAGTTCTTGTTCTCAGGTCTCACCGGCGGTAAACTCTGGCCAACAGGTCTACCTGTGGTTTCATAACCCCAGATACACAGGGGCGCTTACGTCTCTACGTGGTTTCATAACCCCAGATACACAGGGCGCTTACGTCTCTACGTGGTTTCATAACCCCAGATACAGGGCCGCTTACGTCTCTAAGTGGTTTTATACCCCAGACACACAGGGCCGCTTACGTATCTCGGTGGTTTCATAACCCCAGATACAGGGCCGCTTACGTCTCTACGTGGTTTCATAACCCCAGATACAGGGCCGCTTACGTCTCTACGTGGTTTCATAACCCCAGATACAGGGCCGCTTACGTCTCTACGTGGTTTCATAAACCCAGACACACAGGGGCGCTTACGTCACTACCTGGTTTCATAAACCCAGACACACAGGCGCGCTTACGTCTTCAAGTGGTTTCATAACCCCAGATACAGGGGCGCTTACGTCTCTACGTGGTTTCATAACCCCAGATACACAGGGGCGCTTACGTCTCAAGGTGGTTTCATAACCCCAGATACACAGGGGCGCTTACGTCTCTAGGTGGTTTCCTAACCCCAGATACACAGGGGCGCTTACGTCTCCACGTGGTTTCATAACCCCAAATACACAGGGCCGCTTACGTCTCCACGTGGTTTCATAACCCCAGATACAGGGGCGCTTACGTCTCTAGGTGGTTACATAACCCCAAATACACAGGGGCGCTAACGTCTCTACGTGGTTTCGTAACCCCAGACACACAGGGGCGCTTACGTCTCTAGGTGGCTTCATAACCCCAAATACACAGGGGCGCTTACGTCTCTACGTGGTTTCATAACCCCAGACACAGGGGCGCTTACGTCTCTACGTGGTTTCATAAATCCAGACACACAGGGCCGCTTACGTCTCTACGTGGTTTCATAACCCCAGATACACAGGGCCGCTTACGTCTCTACGTAGTTTCATAACCCCTGATACACAGGGGCGCTTACGTCTCTAGGTGGTTTCATAACCCCAGATACACAGGGGCGCTTACGTCTCTAGGTGGTTTCCTAACCCCAGATACACAGGGGCGCTTACGTCTCCACGTGGTTTCATAACCCCAAATACACAGGGCCGCTTACGTCTCCACGTGGTTTCATAACCCCAGATACAGGGGCGCTTACGTCTCTAGGTGGTTACATAACCCCAAATACACAGGGGCGCTAACGTCTCTACGTGGTTTCGTAACCCCAGACACACAGGGGCGCTTACGTCTCTAGGTGGCTTCATAACCCCAAATACACAGGGGCGCTTACGTCTCTACGTGGTTTCATAACCCCTGACACAGGGGCGCTTACGTCTCTACGTGGTTTCATAAATCCAGACACACAGGGGCGCTTACGTCACTACCTGGTTTCATAAACCCAGACACACAGGTGCGCTTACGTCTTCAAGTGGTTTCATAACCCCAGATACAGGGGCGCTTACGTCTCTACGTGGTTTCATAACCCCAGATACACAGGGGCGCTTACGTCTCTAGGTGGTTTCATAACCCCAGATACACAGGGGCGCTTACGTCTCTAGGTGGTTTCCTAACCCCAGATACACAGGGGCGCTTACGTCTCCACGTGGTTTCATAACCCCAAATACACAGGGCCGCTTACGTCTCCACGTGGTTTCATAACCCCAGATACAGGGGCGCTTACGTCTCTAGGTGGTTACATAACCCCAAATACACAGGGGCGCTAACGTCTCTACGTGGTTTCGTAACCCCAGACACACAGGGGCGCTTACGTCTCTAGGTGGCTTCATAACCCCAAATACACAGGGGCGCTTACGTCTCTACGTGGTTTCATAACCCCAGACACAGGGGCGCTTACGTCTCTACGTGGTTTCATAAATCCAGACACACAGGGCCGCTTACGTCTCTACGTGGTTTCATAACCCCAAATACACAGGGCCGCTTACGTCTCTACGTAGTTTCATAACCCCTGATACACAGGGGCGCTTACGTCTCTAGGTGGTTTCATAACCCCAGATACAGGGGCGCTTACGTCTCTACCTGGTTTTATAACCCCAGATACACAGGAGCGCCGACGCAAAGAAAACATTAGGGCCTGGACTTCAGCTACATGCTCTTAAAAATATTTTCTGCAAAAAGGGAGATTGGGTGGGGAGAGGGCACCAGAGGCCCTAGACAACTTTGTGTTGGTTCTGACAACAGTTAAAGCGCTGAATAGCTGAGATGCATGGCAAACAACTGGATGTAGAGTTCAGAAATGAGGATATACCTAACAGTTTACAAAGTAATGTTTATAACTTCTTCTTCTTCTTCTTCTTCTTTTTCTTCTTCTTCTTCTTCTTCTTCTTCTTCTTCTTCTTCTTCTTCTTCTTCTTCTTCTTCTTCTTCTTCTTCTTCTTCTTCTTCTTCTTCTTCTTCTTCTTCTTCTTCTTCTTCTTCTTCTTCTTCTTCTTTCTCTTCTTCTTCTTAGTATTCACCAACTGTAAATTTAAACGGAACATTCTGGCTGTTCGTCCACGTCTGGATTTTTGGTCTTGTTCCAGAACTTCGAGTTTTGAGTGCACACTCTTTTTTTACGGATCTGGGTTGATTATTTGCAGACTGTTGGTTCCTGACCTCCCCAGCAGACGCACTCCGACTTCGAAGTTCAAACAACAATAACAGAAACACCTACAGATGGAAGTGATGGATGTGCTCTCTCGCTCGTCTTGCCATTGTTTCTTGCCTTCGCGTAGTTTCATAATGCCGGTTACCTGCGGATAGACACACATACAGAATAAAGCCTAACTATATCTGCTTTAGTCGGCTCTGTGGCCAAGTCGATGCGAAGGCTTCGTAAGCCGGGGTGCCAGGTTCGATCCCAGCTGCGGGCCATGCGCCTTGCGTTGGTTTCGACAGTGGTATCAGGAGGCCGACCGTCCAGTAAGCAATGGCAAACTACTTGATGTGAATTTGCCTAGAGAAACCACACAACAGCCACGGGCTGCTGGACTTGGTTCTGCAACGTCCTGTAAAGAATACGCAGCTAACCTTATATCTGCTGTAGGAGCCGCGGTGGTAAAGCGACTAGACGCTTGCCTGCGGATTCTAAGGTTGTGGCTTCGGGTCCTGCCACAGTCGGGCCTCCCCCCTCCCCAGCCTTCAATGGGTAGCAGGTAATGTCCTGAGAAGTAAAGGCGATCGGTATGATGTTGACCCTATCACTCAGCGAGTGCCGATTGGTCAATAAAATATAGATCAAACCGTGTGTGCCCAATGTAAATAAAGGCGGTGAAGAGGGTAGTTTAAAAGTTTGGAATTTGAACAACGGATCAACATCAAAGCACACGGACCCATAAGTGCTCCATTCTTCTTCTAACATAAGGCTGAGTCTGAAGAAACTCAGCACAGTAGGCTCTGTAGCACCGGCGAGGATTCTGAAATCCTTAGGGTAGATTTTTAACTCCAAATGTTGCCCGGGCAGCGCCGTTAGGCTACTCTATTCGATTTCCAGCTGCCAAGGGATTTTTTTTTTTTACGTGCGCAATAGTGGACACGGGCGTTTTATCGCACTACCCAGAGACTAGGAGAAATACTAGGAGTCCAAGTCCACGTGAAAAATTCCCAGCCCTTACCGGGGATTGAGCCCGGAACCTCTAGCACTGGAGGCGGACACCATGCCTTAAGACCACCCCTCCCGCCCCCTTCCCCCCCCGCCCCCTTCCCCCTCCCCCCCCCGCCCCCTTCCCCCCCCCCCCCCGCCCCTTCTCCCCCCAAGAGTAATTGTATACCTGCCCTATCCTACGTGACCTGAACATGGAGGAGAATTGGCTCATAAACAGCACCCTGAAGCTGGTGTATTTTGGTCCTGTAAAAGGTCACGGTGACCTTGTAGGACGCTAAGGGAGGGTACAGTTTCGGGATGCAGAGGCAGAGGCAGACCTTCGCGAAACTGGATGCAAGAAAACGAATCGGCTATGAAAGCACATAGGGCTTGAGAATTGGCTAGAGAAAGACTTTCAGGCGTTACGTGCGAGAGCGACGTTCTGTAAGTTACCTGCTGAACGATGATAACCACCCTGGTTAGATGTTATGTTCGAATCACAGTGGTTAGCAAGTATGGCCACTAGTCAGACAGTCACGTGTTCAAATGCCATAGATCTGAACTTTCCTGTGCACATCACATGATAAGAGAAGGGCAGGTGACCCCAAAAAAGTAACAAGTTTCGTAGTATGATGTGCAAAAAAGGTAAAGTCGGGAGATGTGAACCAGCGTCATTGCACACTATTAAAAACCATAAGTGCTCTGCCACCAGTAAGGACAGCTGATAAGAAACTGTGTCGCCGTCGGCGCGTAACTCTGCAGCTACAGCGACGTTCCTCCATTTACCCCAGAGTGATAACTCTGGTACCCATTTCCTGGATGTTGGGTGAACCCCGGGAACCGCCCGCTTTCGAACACCGACCGTAGGCTGCAGCGAGTTGCAGCTGGATTTGAAAGCGAGCCTCTTATCAACTGCGCTAACGTGGCCCCTATGATGTGCAAGCGTGTGCGCACTGGACAGGTACGAAACCTGGAGAGTTTTCCTGTCATTTGGTGCAGATTTCACATTTCTGTCTTCTTTTGTTGATATTCCTTTGGCTAGTCAAAAGGGGCCGATGGACACGAAGATGGGCACAGGATATAAGTGACTCCTTGAGTATGAAAGTACATGAGGCGGGAGAACTGGCGAGAGACCGAGTTTCTTTTAGGCAGACTGTGATGAGAGCGACGTTCTGCAAAGGACCTGCTACATGATGATGATGATGGTCAAAAGTACACCATGACTTTACGGACACACGGTATAAACAAAATCAAGTAATGGCCGTTTTAATGTTACAGTAAACGGATCGCCCGACTGTTGCTCGTTCCCGTGCCGACGAAAATCACACAGAATGTCTATCACTATGCTTTGTGGAAAAATTGCACAAACTGCAGTCTCAGCATATCCAGTAACATATACACGCATTAAATGCAAAAGGCAGCCGCCAGAGGTGCTGTCACAAACAGTCCAACACTAGAAATGCTGTTCATTATCAACAGTTACAGATCAGTGAACTAGACGCTCGCCGCGGATCGGAAGGTCGTGGGTTCGCTCCCTGGCGGAGCCGGACTTTTTTTCAAAAAATGACCTTGGCTCCTAGGTCGACCCAGCCTTGAGTGGGTACTGGGTGCAGTCCCGGAAAGTAAAGGCGGCCGGCGTGATGCTGACCACATCACCCATCTTGTGCCGATTGGTCTATAAAAATATAGATCTAGCCCTATATGCCCTATACGCCTAAAAGCGTGGAAAAGGGTCCTTTACCTTTTTTGACTTATTATAATATTGAAAATAAATAATAATAATTTGTGTATTTAGATGTTATACACGTATTATTTACTAATTTATCTATTTATTTATTACTATATTTGTTATTTATTTATAATAAATAAGTATTACATATTACATAAATTTGGAAAAAAAAAAAGGGAAATCTAAGAGTTAAATTTGGGCTTACCTTTCTGTCAGAGCCAACATCGCGTGTAATGGTGTAGTAGCCAACCTTGCCTTCCCCAGTTCCAACCAACACACAGAACACTTCTTCTTTCCACATACGTACATAACTTAAAGCCGTCACTCCCAGCGGAAGAGGTTTACCTGGCACCTGCACATTTATGAGGTTCAGTCTTTCAAATAACAGTTTGGGAGCAGGGCTGTCAATGGGATTTTTTAAAATAAAACCCAGCTTAGCTGAACAAAAACCCAAGCATTACATGGACAAAGAACACCAACAAAACTCACAAAAAACCCATATTGTTATAATGTACAAAATTTTTAGTTACGAAACGAAACATTTACCACTTTGATATAAGGAAATATATTTTTTTTAAAAATCCAGATTTCCCCAAGGCATCATATAAAAACCCAGATCTGGAGGACGAAACCCACATTGGTATCCCTGGTATTCCATAGTTGTGGATTTCAAGCTGTACGATAGACATGGCCAACAAAGACACCTTTTTAAAAAAGGGGCTTCCTGGTTGACCATGTTCTTAGTACACTTGTATTCATGGCGAGGCGCACACGCCGTCTGGAGGTGACAGGTTCAATTCCCGGCACTGTAACTATAGATTTCGATTTGTATGTTGTCTAGTGTGTTCTTCTATCTTCCTACTTCTTTCTATGAGTGCCGATCAATACACTTTCTGTTACTTAATTAATCCCTGATTGGGAGAATAAGTACTGTGCTCATTTTTATAAAAGGTAAGAAACTGTGTCAGCGCTACGTGGGACCTAGAGCTAAATGAAACCTTAGGGCCCTAAAGCAGCGATTCTCAAACTGCCAGTTACGATCCTTTTTTGAGGTCGAACGACCCTTTCACAGGGATCGCACAAGACTATTGGAAAACGACTATTCATTAAAGTTATAGATGAAAATAATTGTTTGGGGGTCGCCACAACACGAGAGAACTGTATTAAGGGTCATGGCACTAGAAAGGTTAGAGCCCCTGTCCTAAGGCTTTACCGTTTCAACTTAACAAGCTTATCTCAGAAAACGTTAAAATATATAAACCGCCTCGCTGATACCAGGTTGTAGCCCAGTGTCGTGGTTTTGTCGTATCACTGATACCAGGTTGTAGCCCAGTGTCGTGGTTTTGTCGTCTAACTGATACCAGGTTGTAGCCCAGTGTCGTGGTTATGTCGTCTCACTGATACCAGGTTGTAGCCCAGTGTCGAAATTTTGTGGTCTCACTTATATCAGTGTCATGGTTTTTGTCGTCTCAGTACTACCAGATTGTAGCCCAGTGTCGTGATTCTGTCGTCTCACTTACACCAGGTTGTAGCCCAGTGTCGTGATTTTGTCGTCTCATTGATACCAGATTGTAGCCCAGTGTCGTGGTTTTTGTCGTCTCACTGATACCAGGTTGTAGCCCAGTGTCGTGGTTTTGTCGTCTCACTGATACCAGGTTGTAGCCCAGTGTCGTGGTTTTTGTCGTCTCACTTACACCAGGTTGTAGCCCAGTGTCGTGGTTTTGTCGTATCACTGATACCAGGTTGTAGCCCACTGTCGTGGTTTTGTCGTCTCACTGATACCAGGTTGTAGCTCAGTGTCGTGGTTTTGTCGTCTAATTGATACCAGGCTGTAGCTCAGTGTTGTAGTTTTGTCGTCTCACTGATACCAGGTTGTAGCTCAGTATCGTGGTTTTGTCGTCTCATTGATATCAGTTGTAGCCCAGTGTCATGGTTTTGTCGTCTCACTGATACCAGGTTGTAGCCCAGAGTCGTGGTTTTGTCGTCTCACTGATACCAGGTTGTAACCCAGTGTCGTGGTTTTGTCGTCTAATTGATACCAGGTTGTAACCCAGTGTCGTGGTTTTATCGTCTCAATGATACCAGGTTGTAGCCGAATGTCGTGGTTTTGTCGTCTCACTGATACCCGTTTGTAGCCCAGTGTCGTGGTTTTGTCGTCTCAATTATAACAGGTTGTAGCCCAGTGTCGTGGTTTTGTCGTCTCAATTATAACAGGTTGTAGCGGCAATTTAGTCCCAATCTTCAGCACCAATATATCTGCCTGCTCATGTCCCAAGACATAGGGTAACGTGGACAATATATTTAAGGTACATTAACTACCCAGTACATTTTTTTTATTCAACACCTTTTCTCCCTTTTCCCCTTTCTCCCGTTTTCCCATTTCTCCCGTTTTACTGAATGGTTCCAATGACTCATGAGATGACATTGCCCAACCTGGATAAGTAAAGTAACATAGTAAATTTTTTTAGCCGTTTTCCCAATGTCGGCAGCATCCAGTGTGTCTTTGGGAATATTACGAGGACGATACCCCAATCTCTTCTTATGTACAACTCCCGTACCACCATTCAAAGCCTCGAGAGCTGTCTTTTTTGTTGTTGCGTGTGTCTAAACCGCCGGTCGTAGAAATCGAACCCTGGTATGCAGAAGACTGTTCAACACGTTCATTAACCTTTAGCCACAGAACTGCAAACAGAAATGCTGCAACGGCACAGAAGACGACCTAGTAAGCAAACCGTCTGAGTACAGTGAAGCCTACCGTGAACTGAAAGACTCCGGTCCGTCCGTGGACCACCACAATGTCACCGGATGTTGTTCCACAGAAGACCAGCGGCAGCCGAGAGTAGTCGAGGTCCACCATCTGTGGGAGCAGCAGGAGACGTATTGTCAGTCTGAGCTCGTTTGGGGGCGCCACCGTAGAAAAATTACTTGGGGAGAGGGGACGCTTAGTCACTTTGTGATTTTTCTAGGGGTCGAAGCCTCACGTTACTGAAGCCGTGTGTAAGCGTGCAATAATAATGGTGATAATATTTAGGGATTGAGATTGGGGGGGGGGGGGGTCTCAATGTGCCTGAGCCCCCCATGTTAATTCTTTCAGTCACATACATCATGTTTGGTAAACTCGCTTTTATGAATCCTAACGCTGCGATATGTTCTGTTACTTCTTGCATTTGATCACAGAATACTTTAAAAAAAAAAATGGAATTCCCAGTTAATTTTTCATAGGGGTTATATCTCTCTTTAAACAATTGCTGTGAATAAGTTCTAGGACTGAAAGAGTTGAGGTACCCCTGTTTGGGCATCTAACATAGTTGACTATGGCAGCTGAGTCGTGGATCAGGCTGATATATACTAAACGATTTACGAGAAGTCAGATCTTTGCGAGAATCAAAGGAGTGACTGAATCTGCGACTAGGACAAGGCTGCAAGGACAGAAAGTGAACATGGTTGAAGCCAGGCAAAAGTGTTATGCAGAAACCAACACCGAATTGATGTTGTCAGCTGCTGCACGCTGCTGCATCTACTGAGGAGATGATCTGCGCATTTATGGACTGGACGATTCGATGTATGAAGATTATCTGTTGACTTACTTTCCTAACACGTTATTTTTTATACATATAGTATCGTTATGAAGGCTGTTGGCAGATTGCTGCTTTAATAATGTATTGATCAGGCTATAAGCCCCAGCCACCGCAGATTCAAAAGAAGTGTTTTCGCCCACCTGTCTGTCTGCAGTGTGTTTGCCCACCTGTCTATCTGCAGTGTGTTTGCCCACCTGTCTATCTGCAGTGTGTTTGCCCACCTGTCTGTCTGCAGTATGTTCGACGACCTGTCTGTCTGTAGTGTGTTCGCCCATCTATCTGTCTGCAGTATGTTCGCCCACCTGTCTGTCTGCAGTATGTTCGACGACCTGTCTGTCTGCAGTGTGATCACCCATCTATCTGTCTGCAGTATGTTCGCCCACCTGTCTTACTGCAGTGTTCGCCAACCTTTCTGTCTGTAGTGTGTTTGACCACCTGTCTGTCTACAGTGTGTTCGCCCACCTGTCTGTCTGCAGTATGTTCGCCCACCTGTCTGTCTGCAGTGTGTTCACCCACCAGTCTGTCTGCAGTGTGTTCGACCACCTGTCTGTCTGCAGTATGTTCGCCCACCTGTCTTACTGCAGTGTTCGCCAACCTTTCTGTCTGTAGTGTGTTTGACCACCTGTCTGTCTACAGTGTGTTCGCCCACCTGTCTGTCTGCAGTATGTTCGCCCACCTGTCTGTCTGCAGTGTGTTCACCCACCAGTCTGTCTGCAGTGTGTTCGACCACCTGTCTGTCTGCAGTATGTTCGCCCACCTGTCTGTCTGCAGTATGTTCGACCAACTGTCGGTTTGCAATGTGTTTGCCCACCTGTCTGTCTGAAGTGTGTTTGCCCACCTGTCTTACTGCAGTGTTCGCCAACCTTTCTGTCTGCAGTGTGTTTGACCACCTGTCTGTCTACAGTGTGTTCGCCCACCTGTCTGTCTGCAGTATGTTCGCCCACCTGTCTGTCTGCAGTGTGTTCATCCACCAGTCTGTCTGCAGTGTGTTCGACCACCTGTCTGTCTGCAGTATGTTCGCCCACCTGTCTGTCTGCAGTATGTTCGACCAACTGTCGGTTTGCAGTGTGTTTGCCCACCTGTCTGTCTGCAGTGTGTTTGCCCACCTGTCTGTCTGCAGTGTGTTCACCCCCTGTCTGTCTGCAGTGTGTTCGCCCACCTGTCTGTCTACAGTGTGTTCACCCACCAGTCTGTCTGCAGTATGTTCGACCACCTGTCTGTCTGCAGTGTGTTCGACCACCTGTCTGTCTGCAGTGTGTTCGACCACCTGTCTGTCTGTCTGCAGTGTGTTCGACCACCTGTCTGTCTGTCTGCAGTATGTTCGACGACCTGTCTGTCTGTAGTGTGTTCGCCCATCTATCTGTCTGCAGTATGTTCGCCCACCTGTCTGTCTGCAGTATGTTCGACGACCTGTCTGTCTGCAGTGTGATCACCCATCTATCTGTCTGCAGTATGTTCGCCCACCTGTCTTACTGCAGTGTTCGCCAACCTTTCTGTCTGCAGTGTGTTCACCCACCAGTCTGTCTGCAGTGTCTTCGACCACCTGTCTGTCTGCAGTATGTTCGCCCACCTGTCTGTCTGCAGTATGTTCGACCAACTGTCGGTTTGCAGTGTGTTTGCCCACCTGTCTGTCTGCAGTGTGTTTGCCCACCTGTCTGTCTGCAGTGTGTTCACCCCCCTGTCTGTCTGCAGTGTGTTCGCCCACCTGTCTGTCTACAGTGTGTTCACCCACCAGTCTGTCTGCAGTATGTTCGACCACCTGTCTGTCTGCAGCGTGTTCGACCACCTGTCTGTCTGTCTGCAGTGTGTTCGACCACCTGTCTGTCTGTCTGCAGTATGTTCGACGACCTGTCTGTCTGTAGTGTGTTCGCCCATCTTTCTGTCTGCAGTATGTTCGCCCACCTGTCTGTCTGCAGTATGTTCGACGACCTGTCTGTCTGCAGTGTGATCACCCATCTATCTGTCTGCAGTATGTTCGCCCACCTGTCTTACTGCAGTGTTCGCCAACCTTTCTGTCTGCAGTGTGTTCACCCACCAGTCTGTCTGCAGTGTCTTCGACCACCTGTCTGTCTGCAGTATGTTCGCCCACCTGTCTGTCTGCAGTATGTTCGACCAACTGTCGGTTTGCAGTGTGTTTGCCCACCTGTCTGTCTGCAGTGTGTTTGCCCACCTGTCTTACTACAGTGTTCGCCAACCTTTCTGTCTGCAGTGTGTTTGACCACCTGTCTGTCTACAGTGTGTTCGCCCACCTGTCTGTCTGCAGTGTGTTCGCCCACCTGTCTGTCTACAGTGTGTTCGCCCACCTGTCTGTCTGCAGTGTTTTTGCCCACCTGTCTGTCTGCAGTGTGTTCGACCACCTGTCTGTCTGCAGTGTGTTCGACCACCTGTCTGTCTGCAGTGTGTTCGCCCACCTGTCTGTCTGCAGTATGTTCGCCCACCTGTCTGTCTGCAGTATGTTCGCCCACCTGTCTGTCTGCAGTATGTTCGCCCACCTGTCTGTCTGCAGTGTGTTCACCCTCTAGTCTGTCTGCAGTATGTTCGCCCACCAGTCTGTCTGCAGTGTGTTCGCCCACCTGTCTGTCTGCAGTGTGTTCGACCACCTGTCTGTCTGTCTGCAGTGTGTTCGACCACCTGTCCGTCTGCAGTGTGTTCGCCCACCTGTCTGTCTGCAGTGTGTTTGCCCACCTGTCTGTCTGCAGTGTGTTCGCCCACCTGTCTGTCTACAGTGTGTTCGCCCACCTGTCTGTCTGCAGTGTGTTCGCCCACCTGTCCTACTGCAGTGTGTTCGCCCACCTGTCCTACTGCAGTGGGTTCGCCCACCTGTCCTACTGCAGTGTGTTCGTCCACCTGTCCTACTGCAGTGTGTTCGCCCACCTGTCCTACTGCAGTGTGTTCGCCCACCTGTCCTACTGCAGTGTGTTCGCCCACCTGTCCTACTGCAGTGTGTTCGCCCACCTGTCCTACTGCAGTGTGTTCGCCCACCTGTCTGTCTGCGGTGTTTTCGCCCACCTGTCCTACTGCAGTGTGTTCGCCCACCTGACTGACTGCAGTGTGTTTGCCCACCTGTCTGTCTAGCCGATTACCTGCCAGCGCTTGACTGTTAATCTAACATTACGTCGACCTGCAGGCCCTCCCATTTCTGCCAGTCAGTCTGTCTCTTGGCCTGCCAGTCTGATATATGACCGATGATACATGACTGTTGTTAAATCTCTAATTCTCACCTTTTGGAAGGAATCATATCATATGCTTATCCGTTTACAATAGCAGGATAAAACAGAAGCCTAGTTTTTGGTTCTTTGGAGTCTAAAGGGGCATCTGGAATTTGTCCTGGTGATCAGTCCTCCAGCTTAAGATTTACTGCTTGTCAAACCTTTAGGAAGCAGCCCAGAGGGAAAACAGAAAGTAGGAAGGGGACAGTCTTATATTTAGACTCAGTGTTTTTGTGCGAAAACTGAATTTCGCAGTTACAGCAAACACACGCAGATATTTAAAAATCAATTACAAAGAAAACTACAGCATCAAAGTAAAAAGGACAAACTTCAAGCAAGTTGACATGTTTAAGTACTTGGCTTTCCTGATAACATCAGATGAAAGATGCATTAAAGAAGTTAAATGTAGAATAGCTCAGGCAAAGGCAGCATTTCACAATATGAAAACTTTTAAATGCAATCTTTCTTTGTCAATTGAGATGAAAAAGACAATTCTTAAATGCTATGTAAATCTTATCTTGATACACGGAAGGTAATAATGAACAGTTGGTTACTTAGTAAAAACTTATTTGGATGCTGCGGAAATGTGGTTTTATAGTGACAGATAAAAACAGTAATTAAGACGTTTTGAAAGAAACTGACTCACGAAAAGAACTGATTGCCCGCATTAGAAAGAGGCAATCTAACTTCTTTAGTCGTGTGATGAGAAGGAGAAAATTGGAGTCATCGTGACAGTAGGAAAGTTGGAGGGGAGGAGAGGCAGAGAGAGAGAGAGAGAGAGAGAGAGAGAGAGAGAGAGAAAGAGAGAGAGAGAGAGAGAGCAAAATGCTGGACAGTTTGATATCGTGGCAAAATAGAAGATCACATGTGTCAAAGTTTATTTTGAACACACGAGACAGAAGGTTGTGGATAGACATGACTACCAACGCCACACGGCATTGACTTTAAGAAGTAGATTTGTAAATCCTGGACGCGTGAATGAATGTCTTACCTCCATGCAAATAATTATTCTAACGTAAGGACCAAACTTGAACTCTACAAAGCTCAGTGTATGTTCATGAGGGTCAAAG